ATCTATCTATCTATCTATCTATCTATCTATCTATCTATCTATCTATCCCAGGGGTTGGATTGGAAGACCTCTAAGGTCTCTTCCAACTCTGTTATTCTATTATGTTCCGTTCCATTCCATTCTATCCTATTCATCTCTATTTATCATTTCTGTCTGCCTCTCTCTCTCTCTCTCTTCCTTTCTGGAAATATCCCTTTTTAAGGACATAGTCGTTCCCCCAATTCTGATCTCAGCTCACTTATAATTCCTGGAGGGATAATTAAAATCCTCAGCTCCCTTTTCCCTCACCAGCTTCTGACTTGCTCTGCTGATTTTCTGACAACCTGATCTCTCTAGAGGACCCAGTCCACAAACGCCTGGCTCAATTCAGAATGCCGGAACTTCTACCCTTTGCCCCAAGAGGATAGTGTAGCCCCTGAGCCTTGCAGATACAGGATGCCTAGCCTCCACCACAGCAGACATTGGATAGTCAAGGAAACCAACGGAGTAAAGACAAGGGATTGTGTCTGGAAAGGGTAAAGGCAACTTCCAGGTTATGGATCCTCAACTCTACCCTAAACAAAGACTTAGTGGATTCTTTCTGGCCAATATCCCGGTTTAAGAAACGAGAAATCATCATCTTACCAACGAGACTTTCCCAACTAACAAGGATTCTGTTTCATCATGCAATGCCTTCACGGTGGCAGCGATTTCCAGCGCAGTATTCCTGGTAAGGCTCTGCAGAGAGGGGAGGGAGGGAGCTCATGAATATCCCAGCAACACAAAGCTGTAAATTTAATTACAGATAGTCCTCGACTTAGGGACCTTGGAGGTCTTCTAGTCCAACCCCCCCCCCACTTTACTTCCAGGTTGGTTCTCTCCTTTGGGTGCTTTGGAGAGTAGCTTGACTCCCTCTTCTTTGGGGCAACCCCTCAAATACTGGAAGACTGCTCTCATGTCACCTCCAAGTCCTTCTCTTCACTAGACTAGACAAACCCAGTTCCAGCAGCCGTTCTTGATATGTTTTAGCCTCCAGCCCCCTAATCCTCTTTGTTGCTCTTCTCTGCACTCTTTCTTGAATCTCAACATCTTTTTTTACATTGTGGTGACCAAAGCTGGATGCCGTATTCCAGGTGTGGCCTTACCAAGGCCTTATACAGTGGTATTAACGCTTCACGGGATCTTGATTCTTATTGAGAATTCTTATCAAGAACGTATTTGAAGACAGATCTTTCATTTTTCTTTCTTACCTCAGGGAATTTCGGGCCGCCTTTGGTTAAAGCATGGGAACAAGCATTCACCGCATGAGCCAGCTCTTGCTCCAAGAGGCTGTGAGTTTTGGCAGCTTCACAGATTCTGTGGAAAACAGCAGATTGGGGAAGAGAAGAGAAGAGAAGAGAAGAGAAGAGAAGAGAAGAGAAGAGAAGAGAAGAGAAGAGAAGAGAAGAGAAGAGAAGAGAAGAGAAGAGAAAAGAATAAAGAATAGGATGGGATGGGATGGGATAGGGTAGGGTACAGTAGAGTAGAGTAGAGTAGAGTAGAGTAGAGTAGAGTAGAGTGGAGTGGAGTGGAGTGGAATGGAATGGAATGGAATGGAATGGAATGGAATAGAATAGAATAGAATAGAATAGAATAGAATAGAATAGAATAGAATAGAATGTAAATTGGAATGAAGAATAGGAATAGAATAGAATAGAATAGAATAGAATAGAATAGAATAGAATAGAATAGAATAGAATAGAATAGAATAGAATAGAATAGCTTTATTGGTCAAGTGTGACTGGACACACAAGGAATTTGTCTTGGTGCAAATACTCTCAGTGTATATAAAAGATACATTCATCAAGAGTCAAGAATCATCAGGTACAACACTTAATAATAAATGCAGGCAGTCCTCGATACACAACCACAATTGAGCCCCAAATTTCTGTTGCTAATCGAGACATTTGATCAGGGAGATTTGCCTCAATTTTACGATGTTTCTTGCCACAGTTGTTAAACGGATCACTGCAGTTATTTAGCAACACGGTTTGATTTTGCTTGTTGGAAGGTTGCAAAAGGAGATCAGATGACCCTGAGACACTGCAACTGTCATAAGTACATGCCAGTTGCCAAGCATCTGAATTCTGATCGTGTGACTATGGGATGCTGCAAATGTGAAAAACAGTCATAAGTCATTTTTTCCAGTGCTGTTGTAATTTCAAACAGTCACTAAATGAACTTTCGTAAGTCGAGTGTCAGGATTCCGGCAGTTACTCCATTTAAATCATGAACCTCGAGCCACACTCCCAAAACTAAAAAAGATTTATTTGAAGGTAACATTCTACATCCGGCATTTACCTGGGCATAGCCAACTCTGAGATACGTAATTCACTGTCACCCTTGATCCTGCTTTTCCCCCCACCCCTCTGGGTGTATCATCCAGCAAAACACATCCATAGCCAAGAGTCATCAATCATGCTCTCCAATTAGATTTTTGTGCGGCAGAAGCTTCAGTCATCTAATCAGTGTTTGAAGAAAATATGAATGGAATGTACTTTCGATTCCACACTGCCGTCTGCTCTTTGAAACTTTCCCCTTCTTTCGGTTGTCAACCATAAAACGTGTATACAAAATGTTTTATGAGGTGACATCAAGAACTACCTGTATTTTCAAAAAAAGAGGAAAATAACCAAGAAAATCTATTTGCCTTTTGGAAAAAAAAACACCTTGGGGACAACCATGACCTGAAGGATTAAGAAGCCCCATAAAAAGGATGCAGGGGATAAACCTGAAATGGTGAACTGCCTTTAGTCTCAAAGTTGCTTTTTTTCAGGAGGCAACTGGATTTTCTTGTTTTTTGTTTCTTTTCAAGATGTTTTGCTTCTCATCCAAGAAGCTTCTTCAACTCTGACAGGATAGTGGGGAATGGAAGGATTATCCTGTCCACTATTCTGTCAGAGCTGAAGAAGCTTCTTGGATAAGAAGTGAAACGTCTTCAAAAGAAAAAAAAAACAAGGAAGTCCAATTGCCTCTTGAAAAAAGCACCTTTGGGACAACCATGACCTGGAGGATGGAGAATTTCTACCAACTTTTTAGCTATACAAATTAGGATTAACCCCCTTTGAATGAGGTGGGAGTAAGAATGGATTTCCAGAGGGAAAAAAATTACAGACTACAGGAACCATTTGCACTACTCAAGTGACCCTGAGGACACAGAGAAACCTCCAAGTGGCCTCAACGACCCTCTAAAAGGATGCAAATGACCAGCTCTGTCTGCAAGGAGTATATATCCTTCCCTTCCCCTTCATCCAGTCAGAGCTGAAGAATCTTTTTGGATGAGAAGCTAAACATCTTCAAAAGAAAAAAACAAAAAAATTCAGTTGCCTCCTATAAAAAAGCACCTTTAGGACAACTAAGACCTGGATCACAGAGAATCTGTACAGACTTTTTAGCTATGCAATTTGGGATGAGCCCCCTTTGAATGGGGTGGGAGCAGTGGTGAGATTCAAATAATTTAACAACCAGTTTTTCTGCCCTAATGATTTCTTCCAGCAACCAGTCCAGCAAACTGGTCAGAAAGTTAACAACTGGTTCTCCTGGACCAGTGTGAACTGGCAGAATCCCATCACTGGGTAGGAGTAGGAATGGATTTCCAGAGAAAAAAATTACAGACTATACGGGAACCATTTGCAGTACTCAGGAGACCTTGAGGACACAAAGAAACCTCCAAGTGGCCTCAACGACCCCCTAAAAGGATGCAAGTGACCAGCTGCCTGCAAGGAGTATCAATCCTTCCCTTCCCCACCATCCTGTCAGAGCTGAAGAAGCTTCTGGGATGAGAAGCGAAACGTCTTCCAAAGAAAAAAACAACTCCTGAAAAAGACCTTTGGTACAGCCATGACCTGAATGACTGAGAATCTCTACCGATTTTTTGCTTTAGCCTCTTCCCTACCTGGTGATCAGCTCTTCCGCCACCTGAGAACAAGCCTGGATCTGCGCCGTCTCTTCCTCCGAAGCCAGTTCTACCGTCTGGTGCGGGTACAATGGGGACCGTAACCCTGGTTTGCAAGAATCACACTTCTGTTTATCTTCCCAGGATTTTAATGTACTTTCAAAGGCCTGTTCAGGATTGAGGGGGGAAAAAATTAAAATAAATTCGGCATCCTTGAATCCACAGCCGTGCCAGGCATTCGTAGTCTAGTTAGTTTAATGGTGCATCTTGCAATGGAAAAAGGAAAAAAAAGACTTTATTTGGGGTTCTTCTCCCCCCCCCTCTCTCTGCCCCCCCAATGCATAAATATGTGCCTGCAGATTTATGTGTGCATGAAAAAAAAGAGAGATTTACAGGTATTTACGACCACCACAACTGAGCCCCAAATTTAGGTTGCTAAGTGAGACGTTTGTCGAAGTGAGTTTTATTTTCAGGACTTTCCTTCACCCCCGTGGTTCAGGGAACCCCTGTTGCTGTTAAGTTAGCGACACAGTCATTAAATTAATCTGGCTTCCCCATGGACTTTGCTGGTCATAGGTCACAAATGGGGATTGTGTGACCCCGGGACAGACTGCAAGTGTCACAACTACGAGTCAGTTGCTAAGTGTTTGAATTTTGATTAGGTAACCATGTGTGTTGACCCGGGGCGTGGCACAAAGGCAACACAATCGGTAATAAGAGCAATAAGAGTCCCTTTATTAGCTCCAACTTTGCCCCCAATGTCCAGGTTACCTTTGGGCTGGAGAAAAACTCTCCCACGAACATCCTTTAACTGCAGAGAATTAAGTCCAAAACAAGGTACACACAAACTGTAACTTAAACTCCAAACAAACCAAACTGAAGTAATTAGCTTGATGGGGCAGGAGAAGGAATTTCAGACTTGAAAGCACAGCAAAACTCACACAGTTGGGAAGATGCCAGGAACACAGATAAGCCATGACAACACAGGGATAAAGTCATGTTTGCTCCCAGCAGCTGCCGCAGTCAGCATGCAGTTCTTATAAACTTTTATCCCAGCTGCAGCTAATGAAGGGGATCAGGGCCCTTTCCTCCCGCGTAAGCCACGCAGCCCACGTTGCTCCCTTCTCCTTTCCTCCCTGCGTGCCCAGGGATGAAGAGGGGGTGGGCCTGGGTCTTCCTCGGAACTCCCTTGTTCTACCTCTCTCCTGCTCTGCCCAGCTGGACTCTGCCCTTCCCCAGTTTCTTCCCCAGTCAACGGAGCTGCAATTAGCAAACCAGTTGTTACACCAGAAGAATCCCGCCCCTGGTTATAAGCGTGATAAATGGTCATAAGTCCCTTTTTTTTAGTGTCATAACTTTGGTCACTAAATGAAAGGTTGTAACGTGAGGTCTACCTGTATACCCCACTTCACCTGAAGAGATGAAAGGTCCTGAAAAAAGTGGGTTTTGACCCAAAAGTAAAACTGGCCAAAAATGTGTCTTAAAATTTAGAGGAATCACGCAAACCTCATCTGGACTTTATACACACACACACGTACATATGCACTTATACATAGATACACACACATACACACAGAGAGAGAGATATAGATATATAGATATATATCATGGGATCCCCTTTCTGCAAACTTTTGACTGGAGGAATATAAATCCACTGGTTTTAAAACCAGATTTTAAAGCTAAATCAGCTTCTCAAATGTTATGTGGCTCTTTGGTCTGTGTGTGTGTGTGTGGTCTGTGTGTGTGTGTGTGGTCTGTGTGTAGATGGATGGATGGATGGCAGACAGACAGATAGGCAGATAGATATGATAGCTATGCAGACAGACAGATATAGAGAGAGATAGAGAGATATCAGATAGACAGACAGAAAGATAGATAGATATAGAGAGAGATAGAGAGATATCAGATAGATAGACAGACAGATAGATAGATTTACACACACACACACACACACATTTGAGAAACTGATTTAGTTTTAAAAACTGGTTTTAAAACCAGTGGGTTTATCCTCCTCCGATCAGAAGGTTGCAAAAGGGGACTCTGCAACCGTCATAAATATGAGACAGCTTCCAAGCATCTAAATTTTCATCACTGTCCATGCGGTCACTAAAGGAACTGTTGTAAGCCAAGGACTCCCTGTACTATCTCTGCTCTTTTTTTATTATTATGGTCGCTGTGTGTTAGGAGAATGACGCCCCCCCCCCCCCCCCCCCCCCCCCCCCCCCCGACATACTCTGTCTCGCGTCAGCATCTGCGCTCGGTTCTTGTGCACGATTTTAATGATCCCCGGGGGCTGAATCCAAGCTTCCCCATCGACCTGAACGGGAACTCCTTCATCCCCAAGTATGGTGATCTTCACAGCCCGGCACTGGAAAAAAAAAGAGTCAAGAGATTTCAGCAAGCTGGAAGTCGCTCAAGCAAATTTCCACGAAGTACGGCGGCTCCTCTCCAGACCAGAGGTGGGTATTCAGCCAATTCTGGCCTGCGCTGTCCCAGCCAGTCTATGGGAATTGGATCATTACTTAGGAATTATGAGCTGTCCCCTTAAGGGAACGCATCTTGGTCAATGTAGTTAAAGGTATCCTGGGAAATGTAGTCCATGTCACGTGACCACATCCGTAATCCTGATTGGATTGACCCTTGGTGGGTTGGGGGAGGTTTCCCTCATTCTTTGTCTGAACTCTCTAACTCATGGCATCTTCTTTCTTTTTTTTTTTTAACAAGTTTTATTAATTTTTAAAACACACAAATTATCATTATTCATTACATGTTTAAACCTTTTTCCCTTGTAAATTTAACAAGTCAGATAAATTATGATTCTGTTTTAAACCATTTCCATATAATATACCAAAACCTCTTATTCAATTTCTCTTTACTTCTCTTTACTCTTATTCAATATCATTATTATTGTTTCATCTGTTTCTTTCTGACTTAGTTACCATTATTCTCATTCTATATTTCTACAAGTTTTAACCAATTCTCCCCCCAAAAAAGACATATACACACAACACACAAAACATAAAAAAAATATCTTTTTGGAAAGTAACTTGGACCCAGGTGTCTCTCTCTTCATGGACTTCAATTATATTCATGCTCATCTTACATATCATTACTTATTTTATTTACCATTCTAAGCCTTCTATATTAACTTCTCCACATATTTCACACTTCTTAATTCTACCTTAATTAATCATCTTAGTTTAAATCATTATATTTGTATCTTTTGTCCATTTTTTATCATCCCTTTGTCTCATCCCTTGTGAAAAAAAAGAAAATCAGTTTCTCCTGAAATCATTAATCAGAGTATGATGCCTTTCTATCTCCCCCCTAAGTTAATCAAATTAATCTTTAAAATAATATCTAATACCCAATCAGATTTTGCTTGGTACATTCTATCTAACTAATACATCCAACACAATTAAGTGCATAATTAGAGAATAAATCCAAATATTAAAAAGAAATACTATAATAGAAATTTTATAATAACATCAATACCATAATTTTATTAAACTCTTTAATTAAAACAATATTCTAAACCTCTCCTATTATTAAGTTTTAAAACCAATCATTTTTAAACATTTTAACATTTTAATCTCTTATCAACTCTTAAACCATTGCAATACTACCATCTCATCTTATGTACCTTGCAAAATCTTTTTTTTTTTAAAAAAAATTATACTTTATCCATTATCCATAAAAAATTCCTTTTTTCCATTTAATTTCAAAACGTTGTAGCTTTTCTCCACCTTTTCCCTTTCTTTCTTTTCCCAACAAACCTTTCTACCCCCCCTTCTTCTAGCCTCTGCCTTACCGGCTTCCCTTCTCTGTCGTATTTCTTTTCCCCTTTGTTTACAATCATCATATTGGTTTTGCACTTTATTTTTCCCTTTCTTAAATGTTTTTTTAGATCTTAAGTCCTTAAATCCTTTAGTTTTCTTCTTTTCTCTTCTTTTCTTTTCTTTCTCTCTTCCTTTTTTCTGGATCAAATTCTGAGATTCATTAAAGATGGCTCCTTCCTTTCTTTCTTGTTCCTCTGCTGTCTTCATCTGTTGTAATTTTTGTTGATAATTAGTAAGCGCCATTTCTAAGAAAAGAAAAGCTTCTTCCACACCATTTCTTAGTTCCTCAACAGAAAGAGCCATTATAAATCTTTTCTTTTCTTTTCTCCTTCTTTCTTCTTACAACAACCAGAATATTCAAAAGAAAATAAAAAAGATAAAACAGTCCCAAAGTTATCAATCAGTCCAAACCAAGGCAGAGTTCTCACTTTCTCCTTCTGGGGTGATATCAATCAAAGAGAAAGAAAGTCCAAATCTGTTTAAAGTCTTGTTACAATATATTCTAGTCTTCAAATCCTTAAGGCATCTGCTCCAACAAATCTTAGCATACAAATATTTTCTTTTTAATCCTCTCTCTTCCCACTCATCGCTTAAAACCAATTTCCACCTAAAAAAATAGGTTTCTTAATATCCAGTTATTTATTCCGTAGGAAAAGAGGGAAAGCTATCCTTTCAGCACCTTCAAGCAGCCGCTTTTTTCCTCTTCTGGCAGGTATTATTCAGAAAGTCATACTTTTCAGGAATTTTATTAAATATGTCTTAGAGTCCTAGGAGCCAAGAAAAACTTTCTCCTCTCAATCACTTTCTCCACTTCCTCCTGCGCATTCTTACCTGGCTGCCAGCTTCTTTGTGGCGGCCATTACGGACCGCCGCTGCACCGTCCTGGGAAAAGGGGGTTCTGCCGGCCAGGGAGGGGGTCTGCAGCACCCCCAAACCCTTCTCCGGATCCCCCCTACCTTCAGCTGCCCCTGCAGGGCAGCCTAGCTCCGTACCCGGCTGGGTCGGAGCCCCAAAAACGGCTAGCGCGGCAGGGATCGCGCAGCTTCGCAAATCCCTGCCGCTCGCGAAGCCGACAAACCGGAAGTCCCTCATGGCATCTTCTTTCTATCGCTACGAGATGGGTTAGGAGATAACCATCTTTTACTACAAGGCAGATATACAAAGGATTGGTCATCAAAGAAGAACTTCGTCACCAACGTGAGTTGTGAGGATACCCGATGAACCAATAAATGTTCTTTGTTATGGACATCTTATTGAGTTATCTCTCTGCATCTGTACAGTTTATAAATCCAAGATTCTGTACAAGATACAGAAAATGGACAGTTCTGGAGAACCGGTAGCGGAAATTTTGAGCAGTTTGGAGAACCGGCAAATCCCGCCTTTGACTGGTCCTGCCCCCGCATCTATTCTCGGCCTCCCATTGAGTCCCAGCTGGGTCTTCTTTGGTTGTCCTGCACAGGAGAACGGAGCTGGAAAGCAGGTCAGTGGGGTGGGGAGGGAATGGGGATTTTACAGTAACCTTCCCCTGCCAGGCCCACCAAACCATGGCCACCGAAACGGTAGTAAAAAAATTTGAATCCCACCACTGGAGAAAGGGAAGGGAGGGAGGGAGGGAGGATGATGGGAGAGAGGAAGGAAGGAAGGGGAGGAAGGAAAGAAGGAAGGAGGGAAGAAAGCAGAGGTGGTATTCAGCCGGTTCGAACCGGTTCTGGAGAACCGGTTGCAGAAATGTTGAGTAGTTTGGAGAACTGACAAATACCACCTCTGACTGGCTCCGCCCCCATCTATTCTCTGTTTCCCGAGTCCCAGCTGATCGGCTGGGTCTCCTTTTGTTGCCCTGCACAGGAGAACAGAGCTGGAAAGCAGGTTAATAGGGTGGGAAGGGAAGGGGGATTTTGCAATAAATTTCCCCCAGGAGCGGAGAGGGAATGGAGATTTTGCAGTATCTTTCCCCTGCCATGCCCACAAAGCCATGCCCACCAAGCCACACCATGCCCAAGCCATGCCCACAGAACTGGTAGTAAAAAAAATTGCCCGCTGCTTGCTCAAATTGGGGTGGTGGTTCATGTGCTCGTCTGTCATTTCTACGGCCTGGTTCTGAATGGTTCACAGCCCGGGAGTGGGCCGCGGCCCACAGGTTGGGAATCCCTGATATAGGGAATGCTCTCATTTCCTTCTTTCCGGCTACCACACCAACCTGGGCTATTCTATGATGCTGGAGCTTGATCACGCGGGAAACGGCCATCTGCATGCTGCCAAAAACTGCCACGACCTCTAAGATTTTATCATCGAACGATGGCGCCCCGAAGATCTGGAGAAGGAGAGCAATCAGGATGATTAGGGGATTGGAGGCTGAAACATACGAAGAACGGTTGCAGGAACTGGGCCTGGCTAGTCTAGGGAAGAGAAGGACCAGGGGAGACAGGAGATCAGTCTTCCAATATTTGAGGGGCTGCCACAGAGAGGAGGAAGGGGTCAAGCTATTTTCCAAAGCACCTGAAGGCCAGACAAGGAATAATGGATGGAAACTGACCAAGGAGAGATTCAATCTGGAAATTATGAGCAATTTCCTGACAGTGAGAACAATCAACCCATGGAACAGAAGTTGCCTTTTGAAGTGGTGGGAGCTTCATCCCTGGAAGCTTTCAAGAAAAGACTAGACTGCCATCTCTCACAAATGGTGTAGGGTCTCCTGCTTGGGTGGGGGGTTGGACTAGACAGCCTACAAGGTCCCTTCCAACTCTGTTATTCTATTCTACTCGATTTGATTCCAATATTCTATTCTATTCTATTCTATTCTATTCTATTCTATTCTATTCTATTCTATTCTATTCTATTCTATTTTGTTCTGTTCTATTCTACTCTACTCTACTCTACTCTACTCTATTCCAATATTCTATTCTATTCTATTCTATTCTATTCTATTCTATTCTATTCTATTCTATTCTACTCTACTCTACTCTACTCTACTCTATTCCAATATTCTATTCTGCTCTGCTCTGCTCTGCTCTGCTCTGCTGTACTCCACTCAATTCTTATTTTGTTTAAAAAATATTTTATGCCCTACAACTCACATTTGACATTTCAATAATTGCATTCCATCCCTGATGTCATTCAAGGATTAGGTCTTTCACTCCAGGATCTAAATCAGCATTGCGTAAATATCAGAGAAGGTGGAGGTTTGGAACGGAACTGTAACTTTAAAGGTCACTACCAAAGTATTTGAAAGAGTTACTATTCACAAGGTTGGGATCTCAATACACGCAGACCTCAACTTACAAGTGTTTGTTTAGTGACCGTTCAAAGTTACAACGGCACTGGAAAAAGTGACTTATGACCATTTTTCACACTTATGATCAATTGCAGGTCACGTGATCAAAATTCAGACGCTTGTCAATTGACTCATATTTATGACGGTTACAGTGTCCCACATGATCCCCTTTTGTGACTTTCTGACAAGCCAAGTCAATGGGGAAGCCAGATTCATTTAACAACGGGATTACTAACTTAACAACTGCAGGTGATTGCTGCAACAGCATGGCGTTTAGAAGATATCGGCCTGGCGACTCTCCAAGCCTGATAAAGGTCTGTAGTTGTGCAATCTCTTGAAAGACTGTTGGCCGGAACTTTGCTGGAGAGGAATTCATTTTAACCTAAATAAAAGGAGTTTTATGGGGATGAGGAGTCGGCTTCATGATCTTGGGAAGCCTCGGTCAGAACTCGTGGACTGAAACCAACCGGACTTTGGGCTGTGACCAGATTGGATCCTGTGATGGACATGTGGACTGGGGGAAAGAACTTTGACTTTTCATTTGGGTGGGGAAAACCCCAGGACCTTCAGAGTTGAGTTTTCACCAGATGTGCCAATATGACACATCTAATACATCTGCACTTTGAGGGACACCTGGGCTTCAGAGGGTGGGTTGCGTTGGATCTGTTACTTGGAACCCTGAAATATGGTACCAAATTGACTTCAACAAACTATATTTTCTATTTTTATGCAAACTTCCTTTGGAAAATCAACAGCTGGCTTAGAATAGAAATAAGAATAAAATAGAATAGAATAGAATAGAATAGAATAGAATAGAATAGAATAGAATAGAATAGAATAGAATAGAATAGAATAGAATAGAATAGAATAGAACAGAATAGAATAGAATTCTTTATTGGCCAAGTGTGATTGGATACACAAGGAATTTGTCTTTGGTGCAAATGCTCTCAGTGTACATAAAGAAAAAATAAAATACATTCATCAAGAATCATAAGATACAACACTTAGTGATAGTCATAGGTTACTATAAGCAATCAAATCATACGTAGGTTACTAATACGCAATCAAAACATACTAGGAAGACAAATAAAACACTATAAATTGTAAAGATATAAGCAACAAGGTTATAGTCATAAGTGGGAGGAGATAGGTAATAGGAAGAATGAGAAGAATAATAGTAATACAGTCTTACTAAATAGTTGGACAGTGTTGAGGGAATTATTTGTTTAACAGAGTGATGGCATTGGGGAAAAAACTGTCCTTGTGTCTAGTTGTTCTGGTGTGCAGTGCTCTATGGTGTCATTTTGAGGGTAGGAGTTGAAACAGTTTATGTCTGGGATATGAAGGTTAGGGTTCGGGACTTGAGAAGCAAATAACCTGAAGAGCAAGACTTACATCATCTTCCTTGGTTCCACCCCAGAAATTTGTCCCACCGGCGTAGCTTGGGATGTTCAAAACAGCTATGCCTTGAAGGCTAGGAAGAGGGATATATTGTCCGTCGCACTGCAAGGTATAAAACACTGTATAAATAACCACTGAAATATACTGGAGTTTCCACTAATTACAGATATAGGTTAGACTTGAAATCTAACTTATAAGAGCCCTGGTGGTGCAGCGGTTAGAATGCAGCATTGCAAGCTGCAATTTTGCTGAGCTCCATTGTGGTCGTACATCGAGAGGTGGGTATTCAGCCGGTTCTGACCGGTTCTCGCGACCTGGTCACGGAAATGTTGAGTAGTTCGGAGAACCGGCCGATCCCACCTCTAACTGGCCCCACCCCCATCTAGTCTCTGACTCCCGTTGAGTCCCAGCTGATCGGCTGGATCTTCTTTTGTTGCCCTGCAAAGGAGAACGGAGCTGGAAAGTAGGTTAGTGGAGTGGGGAGGGAAGGGGGATTTTGCAGTAACCTTTCCCTGTTATGCCCACAAAGCCACGTCCACCAAGCCATGCCACACCCAAGCCACACCCACATAACTGGTAGTAAAAAAAAAAATTGAATCCCACCACTGAGTCCTGTACCCGGCCGGATTTTTGTCTATGTTATATATTTTGTCCTCACAAGGTGCAACAGCGACAAGGTGCAGTCAACTTTTACAACTAAAATCCACCCAAAATATCACCCAAAAGTCAAGATTCAATTTGCTTCAGGGGAGGGACATGAGACAAACGGCGTGTCGGGGAAGTTTAAGCCTTACCTCGAGTTGAACTTTCTGCTCTAAGTTTTTGTAAGTCCGTTGTAACAATTCTTTAGTACCAAGGACTCCGTACCACATCATGTTCTTGGTCCTGCTTCTAAAAAGAAAAAACAGTGATTACACCTTAAAAGGCCTGGAATTAAAAGATCAGAAACTGCTGTGGTTAGCCGGCAGCAGGTGTGGATAGCTGAGGAGAGCGAGGACTCAGATGAGGGGCCAGGACCATCAGGGAGTGGACTGCTGCTTTCAGAGATTGTGGGGGCTGGCAGCAGCGATGAGGAGGTTCCCGAGGAGCCTGTGCCAAGTGCATGTGCACGAAGGATTACTCAGAGGAAAGAACAATTACAGCAGCACAGGCAATTCGGGAGTAAGGCTGCAAGGTAATGGCCCCTCCCTCAAGAGGATAAAAAGCCAGGTTTGAAGAAACATTCTTTGCAGAAGGCAAAGACGCTCTGAAGCTCAGCCTCGTGGACATCATAGTATTTGAAAACTCTTGTAAATTAGTTCTTATCTCTGGGTTTTTGGCAGCCTTGACAAACAACCTGGCAAAGCTTTCTTGTCGGAGCTAATTAGTTGGAAGCAGCCTTTTATCTGTTAAAAAAACAGAATTCATGGATAAAACCTTAAAAGGTGGGGGCTGCTGCCTTTGTCTTGTGTTTGCTCTCTTGGAACCAGGTTGGTTCAGAACAGAAACATTCAGTAAGACATCAACCCCCTGCCTACGCACACAACCTATGACTACAAGTGAGCCCAGCAAAATTCCTGTCGCTAAGCGAGAACAACCTTTGGATTCCGAAGTGACTTTTGCCCCCGTTTTTCAACCTTTCTTGCCACGGTTAAGCGAATCGATGCAGTTGTTAAGTTAGTAACATGGTCGTTAAGTGAGTCTGGCTTCCTCATGGACTTTTGTTTGTCTGGAGGTCGCAAAAGGGGATCACGTTACCCCAGGACACTGCAACTGTCATAAATACATGCCAGTTGCCAAGCCTCTGGGTTTTGATCACGTGACCGTGGGGATGCTGGAATGGTCGTAAGTGTAAAAAATGGTCAAAAGTGCTGTTGTAACTTCGAACAGTCACTAAATGGTGATGACCCAAAGGGGCGTGGCACAAAGGCAACACAGTCAGATAAGCAAGAAGAGTCCCTTTATTATCTCCAACTTTGCCCCCCGTGTCCAGGTTACCTTCTGGCTGGAGAAAAACTCTCCCAAGAACAGTCTTTGACTACAGAAAATTCAGTCCAAAACAAGGTACACACAAACTGTAATTCAATCTCCAGACAAACCAAACTGAAGTAATTAACTTGACAGGGCAGGAGAAGGAATTTCAGATTTGGAAGCATGGCAAAACTCACACAGTTGGGAAGATGCCAGGAACACAGATAAGCCACGACGATACCAGATAAAGTCACGTTTGCTCCCAACAACTTGCTGTGCACAGCTTCCTGTTTTATACATTGTGTTCCCAGCAGCAGCTAATGAAGGGAATCAGGACCCTTTCCTCCCCTGTAAGCCACACGACCCACGTTGTTCTCTTTTCCGTTCCACCCTGTGTGCCCAAGGATGAATAGGGGATGGACCTGGGTCTTCCTCTGAACTCTCTCTCCCTTGTTCTCCCTCTCCCCTGCTCTGCCCAGCCGGACTTTGCCCTTCCCCAGTTTCCTCCACAGCCAACGGAACCAGACTCCCACTCCCTGTCAGCTCTTCGGCTTCCCCCTCCGAGTCAGATTCCAACAGGGGCATGACACAAATGGTTGTAAGTTGAGGACTAGCTCTAGTTTGTTACAAATGTATAAGCAAGGACTATTTCAAATCGTCACTGTGACTCACCTGCATTTTTCAGGATGTTCCTCCCGCTTGTTGTTAAACTCTAGTGAAATCTTCGCATCTAATCCGATACCGAAATAATTGTTCATGACGCACTTCTCTGAATAGCCTTCCCTATACATAAATGCACAACTCATGTTGGTAATAGCACACAGAAGAAGCACGCACAGGGATACAAACAACAGGCCAGTTCTAAGCTTCCTTCTTAGAGCAATCCCAAACCTTTTATCTTATCCTACAGGGGGAATTGTATGTTTGGCCTGCCAGTGGCCAGCAGAGCTGGCAGCAGTGTCGGACAGTGAGGAGGTTGGGGAGGAACATGGGCCAGTTCTGGAGTTTGGGGAAGGCTCTGACAAGGCAGAGATGGGGCCAGGGCCGACTGGCAGTCATCAGCTGCTTTCAGAGTTAGACATCAGTGGGGCAGAAGAACAGCTGGAGCCTGTTCCCAGTATGCGCATGCACAGAGCTGCCAGAGGAAGGGAACAGCTAAGGAACAAGGGTCGACTTGGGATTTTGCAGTAACCTTCCCCTGCCACGCCCACCAAGCCACACCCCACCCACCCAGCCACGCCCACAGAACCGGTAGTCAAAAATTTGAATCCCACCACTGCTTTGCACTAATTAGAAGTTCTGCCATTTTGTTCTGAGATGGGAGGACCAAACAGATGAGAAAGAATTCTACTGCTTTGATTTGCCATTTAAAGGCTCTCCCAAGTGATACATAAACGTAACAGCACCGAATATTAATACTGTTTAAAGAAGAAGAAGAAGAAGAAGACCCATTAAATGAGAAATGGAGCAAGAATTAAACTTGTTTCTTACAGCGATTCTGGGTCGGGATCAATAAAAGGGGTGGCGCCGAACGGATCAATATTTGCCAATAACATTTTGCTAATAATGGAGCTTCCCGCAATGGAGGCAGCGAGGCCCGCTCTCAGACCTGATGGAAAAATGGGGGAAATATATCTGTGTATATATATACATTTTAATTAGATATTCAAGTCATTTAGGACTCAATTCACAGGTTAAAAAAAATCTTGCCTCTCCGTCAAATGTTCAACAAACGTGACAAAATGTCAGGGATGAAAAAGTTTCTTTTTCTAACTTTCTGAACGTCTCCCTTCCATTCGTTGGAAAGAGAAAGAGACAAAAGTTTAAAAGAAGAAAATCAATCCCTTTTTCAACTGAACAACAACATCTGCAGGGGTTTTGCAATTGCTTATTCCGGTGTACAACACTCATAAACCACATTATACATACAAACACAAATATAAATTTAAGTAGCGCCATCAGCAGATATTTGTGTGTATATGTGTGTGTGTGTGTGTACTTCACAGACTACAGAGAGTAATTAGGACTGCATAAAAAAAACAATTATTACCAACCTGCCTTCCATTGAGGACCTGTATGCAGCACAAGTCAAAAAGAGGGCTGTGAAAATATCTACAGACCCCTCACATCCCAGACATAAACTGTTTCAACTCCTTCCCTCAAAATGACGCTATAGAGCCCTGCACACCAGAACAACTAGACACAAGGACAGTTTTTCCCAAATGCCATCACTCTGCTAAACAAATAATTCCCTCAACACTGTCCAACTATTTACTAAGTCTGCACTACTATTACTATTAATCTTCTCATCACTCCTTATTACTCATCCCCTCCCACTTGTGACTGTATGACTGTAACTTTGTCGCTTGTATCCTTACAATTTATATTGACTGTTTCCTAGTAGGATTTGATTGTTTATTGTACCCTTTGAATATTATTAAGTGTTGTACCCGATGATTCTTGACTCTTGACAAATGTATCTTTTCTTTTATGTACACTGAGAGCATTTGCACCAAGACGAATTCCTTGTGTGTCCAATCACACTTGGCCAGTAAAAAAATTCTATTCTATTCTATTCTATTTCTATTCTATTCTTCATCCAATATTTATTCTATTCTATTCTATTCTATTCTATTCTATTCTATTCTATTCTATTATATTATATTCTTCATCCAATATTTATTCTATTCTATTCCATTCCATTCCATTCCATTCCATTCCATTTTATTCTATTCTATTCTATTCTATTCTATTCTGTATTTCTATTCTATTCTACTCTACTCTATTGTACCCTATGACTATCAGTATGTGTTGTACCTGATGATTCTTGACTCTTGACGAATGTATCTGTTCTTTTATGTACACTGAGAGCATTTGCACCAAGACAAATTCCTTATGTGTCCAATAACACTTGGCCAATAAATAATTCTGTTCTGTTCATTCATCTATTCATTACCTGGACAAATTATTCTTGTGTTCAGGACTGGAAGATTCTCCTTGGTGGCGACACCAACCAGGACTGAAAAAGAATCAACAGGTGAAGGATTTCAGGCGATTTCTCTCTCCTTCTGGACATTTGGGGCAGTTTTAACTGGCCACAGAGTGAAAATATATGTAAGTAGTCCTCCACTTATGAAAATTCATTTAGTGACTGTTCAAAAGTTACAACGGCACTGAAGAAAAGTGGCATGTGACCATTTTTTTCATACTGATGACCATCGTGGCATCTCCACAGGCACATAATCAAAATTCAGACGCTTGGCAACTGACTCATATTATGACAGTTGCAGCATCCCTGGGGTCACATGATCCACTTTTGCGACCTTCTGAGGAGAAAAGTTAGTGGGGAAGCCAGGTTCACTTAACGACCGTGTTATTAGTCTAACAACTGCAGTGATTCACTTAACAACAAGGGTGGCGAGCACAGTCGTGAAATGGGGCAAAGTTCCCTTTACAACTGTCTCGCTTGGCCCCCGTAAATTTGGGGCTCAGTTTTGCTTATAAGTCAAGGAGTACCTGTACTTTGGTTATATAATTGTGAAAATGACATAAATGAACCATAGGAACCAGTAGGATAATGTTTTGCTTGCTGGAAACGCTTTATAGTTCATTTTAGGAATTTGTAGGGGCTTTTTCCTTCATAGAAATAAAACAGATTTTAGAACGGAATGGAATGGAATGGAACAGAATGGAATAAAATAGAAAATATAGAATAGAATAGAATAGAATAGAATAGAATAGAATAGAATAGAATAGAACAGAATAGAACAGAATAGAATAGAATAGAAAATATAAACTAGAATTGAATAGAATAAAAAATAGAATAGGATAGAAATATAGAGTGGAATGGAATGGAATGGAATGGAAGAGGAGAGGAGAGGAGAGGAGAGGAGAGGAGAGGAGAGGAGAGGAGAAGAGAAGAGAAGAGAAGAGAAGGTAGAGGAATGGAATGGAATAGAATAGAATAGAATAGAATAGAATAGAATAGAATAGAATAGAATATGGAATGTAGA